CTTCAGCTCAGGAGACCCGGGACGCCCTCTGCTGGAGAAGGGTGGACAGATTCTCCAGATCCCAACAACTAGAGGACCTAGAAAGATGTAAATCCCTTCCGATCTCCCTTATAGGTGTTGTGCAAAATAATGTCCTGCAGATTATGAATAGATGGTTAACTAGAACTGGAGTTATAGTTAATTATTTAACCTATTCAAAATCGAAGGTAGAATCAATTTAGCGTTCTTAGTTAGACAATTGTAGCTTTGAATTATTTACTTACCGGGTTGCGGATTCACCTCTGGAGGGTTCCTGGACCGGCTGTTAAAATCCAGGTCTCCACCAATCTAGTGACCCAGGTTAAGTGGCTAGCAGAGCTATTACTTATCAATAAAGAACCTTTTATCTCTGTTTATCCGCACTATTACCAAAAGGGGTGGATCCAACCAGAGTGATAAACCCTCCGCTATATGAACGACCAAAACCACTACAAATTAACCAATGATGTCTTTATTCTAATAATTCAGGATTACAGAAAATCTAACATCTACACTACACGCTACTAGAAAAATAAACACGAGGTAGATTAAAATGACTAGTTTAAAGAAATCGAAAATAAAGAATAAACCAAAAAAATAGAAAACAAAAGAATAAAACCCTAAGAGTCCGTTTGTTGGCTTCTGAGATTGTCCAAAATATGCCAGATAGTAATACATTCACTAATGTCCATTAGCAGCAGGTATGATGATAACAGTGCAATTAATCATATAAAATTAATACATCCAGCTTAAAATTGGTAAATTATTAAAAATGTATTAACAAGTAGCAGCAGAAGTTGTTCAGCAAAAGACATTAACGAACAGTGTACTCGTATGTGAGAAAGGCATGTGAATAAATGAGGGACCCCCCTTTCTCATGTGGTGAGAGGAACAAAGGAAAAGGGGGGGGGAGGAACAGTCTAAAATCAAGATGGCGGTAACCACGTGACCACACGCGGCTGAATGTGATAATTCTATAACTATCTCAAAGCAGAAACAAAAAGAGGATAGGAAAATCAGCATTAATTCAAATCCCTGAATCTACATGTCTCTCTCTCGCCGAGCGCAGCACCTCATTAATGCATCAAAAGGAAAGGAAACTAATTTACTGTGAGTTGCCTTCCGTCCGTGAAGGATTGGTGTTTCCAAGGGAACCGTGGCTTGGTTTCGGCCGTGCAGAGGGTTTCTCGTCACCGGGTCCGCCCTCGGGAAAGTTCAGTCAGTTCGGTGCTACAGCAGAGGGCTTGATATGCTCACAAGTCGAAGAGGATGGATTTTGCGGAAGTAATCGGCGAGGAGCGTCCTCCCCATCGATCCGTCCCAAAGGAGAAAAACACACAGCTCCCAGGCTTCTGTCTCCCCAGTTGGCGCAGCCGCTATGCACGATGGAACAC